CCTCAAAACTTGAGACATCTGTGGCATTGTGTTGTGTGGCAAAACTGCACATTTTAGAGTGGCATTTTATTGTCCCCCAGTACAAGGTGCACCTGTGTAATGATCATGCTGTTTAATCAGCTTCTTGATATGCCACACCTGTCAGGTGGATGGATTATCTTAGCAAAGGAGAAATGCTCACTAACAGGGATGTAAACACATTTGTGCACATCATTTTAGAGAAATACGCTTTTTGAACATATAGAACATTTCTGGGATCTTTTATTCCAGCTCATGAAACATGGGACCAACATTTTAGATGTTGTGTTTATATTTTTGTTCAGTGTATTTTGAATGAGAAGAGATAGAACATACACAGATCCAATGGCTTTGAGTAGATGCTGGATGTCAAAGTAAATGTTTACTAGCCAGAAAGAAAGACCCTGTAAGTATACCTATAGAACTAACTGCTGCTAGGTATCTAATGCTGTCTTATACAGATGGATGAGTACAATAACTAGGGGAGTTGTAGGAAAACGTGTTAATTTGCTCTGCACACATTTATCAGAATATGCATGTTATTTCTTCCACAAATTAACTAGTAAAATCTGATGTATACTGCATTTAAAGGATAATGGCTATAATGAGTCTTTCTTTGATGAAATTATATATGGCTATAGTAACATTAAGAGAAGTCTGATATACTGTAAGCTTGGTTTATGCTATGCATGTATGATTATATGCTTCATTTGTTTCCAATGGCGAAACCCTAATAATACCAAAACCTCCTCTAGCCAACATTGTTACCTTCCTCATCTTCTGGCAGAGGAACTGCCTGCTGTCCAAGTCCAGCACCTTCTACCTGATGGTCATCTCTGTAGCTGACACCCTGGTGCTCGTTTTCATTGTGGTGCTGGAGATCAATGTCAAATTTTACCACGATGTACTTATTTAGTCAGAAATAGTATTGCTCTTTTAATTTCTACAGTTCTGTCAGTAACACTTTACATTGGATTTTTGTAGTAACACTGTAATTACTACAGTAACACTTTATAAAGTTTGATTTGAGGAGCCGTTCTGGAGCCGTGAGCCCTGGTTTCTTCGTGGCCTACGTCCTACCTTTCCTCATCCAAGAGCTTTGTGCTGCTATCCATCCCCCGCGCCGTCTCCCAGATCATCCTACGTACCACCCATTTCTAAGGCCAGCATTGCAACGACTTCAACCTGCAGATCAACGTGGCGACTGACATTGGTAGCATGCTGAGCCTCAGTAATGCATCCATCAACATGTACCTGTACGCCTGCACTCAGGCCAAGTTCCGTCAGAAGTTCATAGCCTGTGTCTGACAGGTTTTCTCCCATAGCAAGACTAGCAAAGTCCTGCTCAGAAGTAGACTGGCTATTTGCCATTTATAACACTTTAGCCTTGTCCAGGTCTGGACGAAGCTTGAGGTACTTGGGGGTCAGTGAGTCTGTTTCAAACTTTAGTTTGTCAGAACAGTGGAAAACGAGTTCTCATAACACACATTCATAAATGGTTAGTGTTTCTCCAGACATCTATAATTGACCAGGAACTCTACAAAACAGTTTAATCATCTCACCCGGTTAGTGTTTGTGTATTTTACTCATTTTGTTGCTCTGTAAAAGTAGGATAAGAGCACCCAGTCAATGGTCACAGCAGAATGACATCTGCGATGTTTGCCCCTGCAGTCAGAATTAATTTCCTAGAATAGGTTTTCAATCACAATACAAACAAAAAGAGAAAGATATACAATTAAGGGAGAGCTCCGTTACTGGCAGTAGCCTTTTTAATTTCCTAAAAAAGGTGACCGGGATTAACAAATGCTATCTTGATTGTTTTGTCAACAAATATTTTGGAGTGATAGCATTGTCTGCGGTTTGCTTAAGCCTGCTTGATAGAGTTGTTTTGATATTAAATGAGGGTCATTTTTTATGGATACTGCTGTAATGGTGTCCTCACATTCTTTACCCACATGCAAAAGGCATTTAAAACATGTTAGCTACTGTTTCAAATATATAGTATTAAATGTGCTTATATTTCTTTTTCATATGGGCTATAATAATTTTTCCCTTTAAACCACAAAATTTGGATGGATATAAAATACATTTGACATTTAAATGGATTAGTAAATATATTTATTTAATCTGACAATGTTGTCTAATGCAGTGTAAACTTGATGGAACCAGTGACTCCATTACAGAAGTATGTGATTGTAGGTTTTGTTGCAACGCTCCAAATCTTGACCACTGTATTTTCACATTATTGACGTCTTCTTAACATGCCAATATATGACAGGCTTACTGCTTAGCTACAGATTTAGTGGTGTAATAACACTTACAAAACCAGCACTTCTAACAGCTCAGACTTTGTCAGAGACAAGTTACTGCATTCTGTCTGTCACTATGGAATTGTTTGTGGACACTGACATTTGGGTCATTCAGATAAAAACCTCTTCAAAGCAGACGTCATAAACTGTATTTAGGGAAAAATCTCATAGCTTCTTATCAGTATAATTTTACTTTTTTAAGGCAAATAATTAATAGAGATCCTAAATAAATCTAAAAAATAATACCAACCCATTCCTTACCAAAATATTTTATGTACAATAATACGGCCTATTTATTTAAAGTTTCCCTGATTTTGAGGCTACAGAGAGAACAATGTTAGCCTGGATGCAAGACTGAGAGACTTGCTTCACTTTCTCAACCTGGTAACTCTGGTATAGAAACTGTTTGGCATTGTATTATTAATGAGGGCTGTTTCTATGGAACACAGTGCGGGCATATTTTAATGATTGGGTCACCTTTTCAACAGTAACAGTAACGGTAGGATTTGATCATTTCTCCGCTATGGAATCCGGTTTCCGAGCTGGTCATGGGTGCACTTCAGCCACGCTCAAGGTCCTAAACGATATTATAACTGTGATCGATAATAGACAGTACTGTGCAGCTGTCTTCATCGACCTGGCCAAGGCTTTCGACTCTGTCAACCACCGCATTCTTATTGGCAGACTAAATAGCCTTGGTTTCTCAAATGACTGCCTCGCCTGGTTCACCAACTACTTCTCAGATAGAGTTCAATGTGTCAAATCGGAGGGCCTGTTGTCTGGACCTATGGCAGTCTCTATGGGGGTGCCACAGGGTTCAATTCTTGGGCCGACTCTTTTCTCTGTGTTTTCAATGATGTCGCTCTTGCTGCTGGTGACTCTCAGATCCACCTCTACGCAGACAACACCATTTTGTATACATCTGGCCATTCATTGGACACTGTGTTAACAAACCTCCAAACGAGCTTCAATGCCATACAACACTCCTTCAGTAGCCTCCAACTGCTCTTAAACACTAGTAAAACTAAATGCATGCTCTTCAATCGATGTCACGGTCGTTCAAGGAAGTGACGGACCAAGGCGCAGCGTGATATGCGTACATTCTTTATTTCTAGTACACACACAAACAAAAACAACAAAACAAACGATACGTGAAGTCCTGGGTTGAACACAAACCTTCCGGAACAAGATCCCACAAAACAAAAGTGCCAACAGGCTGCCTAAGTATGGTTCCCAATCAGAGACAACGAGAATCAGCTGCCTCTGATTGGGAACCACCCTGGCCAACATAGAAAACACGAACTAGAACACAACATAGAAAATAACTAAACATAGGAACTAACACCCTGGCTCAACATTAAAGAGTCCCCAGAGCCAGGGCGTGACAATCGAACGCTGCTGGCATCCGCCCACCCGACTAGAATCACTACTCTCGACGGGTCTGACCTAGAGTATGTGGACAACTATAAATACCTAGGTGTCTGGTTAGACTGTAAACTCTCCTCCTTCCAGACTCACATTAAAAATCTCAAATCCAAAGTTAAATCCAGAATCGGCTTCCTATTTCGCAACAAAGCCTCCTTCACTCATGCTGCCAAACATGCCCTCGTAAAACTGACTATCCTACCAATCCTTGACTTCAGCGATGTCATTTACAAAATAGCCTCCAACACTCTACTCAGCAAATTGGATGTAGTCTATCACAGTGCCATCCGTTTTGTCTCCAAAGCCCCATACACTACCCACCACTGTGACCTGTACACTCTTGTTGGCTGGTCCTCATTACATGTTCGTCGTCAAACCCACTGGCTCCAGGCCATCTATAAATCACTGCTAGGCAAATCCCCGCCTTATCTTAGCTCATTGGTCACCATAGCAACACCCACCCGTAGTATGCGCTCTAGCAGGTATATCTCACTGGTCATCCCCAAAGCCAACACCTCCTTTGGCCGCCACTCCTTCCAGTTCTCTGCTGCCAATGACTGGAACGAATTGCAAAAATCTCTGAAGCTGGAGACTTATCTCCCTCACTAACTTTAAGCATCAGTTGTCAGAGCACCTTACCGATCACTGCACCAGTACACAGCCCATCTGAAATTAGCCCACCCAACTACCTCATCCCTATATTGTTATTTATTTTGCTCATTTGCACCCCAGTATCTCTATTTGCACATAATCTCTTGCACATCTAGCATTCCAGTGTTAATACTAATTGTAATTAATGTGCACTATAGCCTATTTATTGCCTTACCTACATAACTTGCTACATTTGCACACACTGTATATATATTTTCTGTTGTATTTTTTGACTTTATGTTTTGTTTTACCCCATATGTAACTCTGTGTTGTTGTTTTTATCGCACTGCTTTGCTTTATCTTGGCCAGGTCGCAGTTGTAAATGAGAACTTGTTCTCAATTGGCTTACCTGGTTAAATAAAGGTGAAATAAAATAAAAAATAAAATGTTAGGTATTGCTAACCCCACTCAGACTCAGAGGATGATGATTGGACAGGTCATCTTCTAATTGAGTGGCATATTCTAACTGAACTGACATCTCAGGCTGGCATCTAGGCTAGCACAATGTAACATTAATGACAACATCAATTTAGCTAATCCTGGAGTAAACTTGTTTTCACAGCTATACATACTTGTTGATGAAATGTTGAGGTTTGACTATTTCTTCTTTCCAGGATTCTGAACTTTGTCTAGTCCCTGGATGTACTTGCGGGGAATTTGGTACTTATCTACAAAATAAAGTGGGAAGAAGCCTTAGAAATGATGCACATAAACACCTGTTAAATCAATAGTCGGTATGAAGACAGCCTTGTCATGGGGTTACCAAAAGGAAATGTTTGCGAACCTAGCAGCAGTTTGCCGACTTGCTGGACCTGGTTTCCTTGTATCTGGACCAGGACTCGGTCCTTGGAGCCAGGGACGGCGTTCAGGGCTGAGCTGGCCTGGACTCTGTGCTGCAGGGCGACTGACACTGCCGTGGGGTCCAGACCATACACCTCCAGGTTCTTTATCATGATCACCTCCAGAGAAGGGAGGAACGGCGGGATGGACAGATATTTTATTAATCACAAAGATTGAGGAGTGCTGCTTTAAAACATGAAAGATTGTAAAGATGTTGCCATGGCTGTACCTTCTGGTTGGAGCCCCTGGAGGCCTCAGAGATGTCTATGGGTTCAATGTGGCCCTTCTTTACTATGGGTGGCTGGCCAGGGAAGACCAGCTGGTGGCATTGCTGTATTTTGTCTAGCGTCCTGTGGACACAAGATGGCGATGTTTAGTCATAATCCAAGGCCAGTAATGCATCATGACTTTACATTATACATTTTAGTCATTTAGCAGACGCTCTTATCCAGTAGTGAGTGCATACACTTTTCATGCTTTATCGTAGTGGTCACCTGTTGGACAGTGTTTCACTACCCATAGCTGTTTACCTGCTGAAGAGGTCGTCCCACTTTAGTGCTCCCATCTCCTGGTCCTCTGACTTCTCAAGTAGGCAGTCACATAGGATCGGATTAATGATGACATAAGAATGTGTTAATATAGGATTGTTGACAGCTCCCATCTTAAACAGATATTTTCTTGGGGCATGATATTTGCGCTGGCAGTGCATCTCCCAAACAACTTGATATTGTACGTCTTAAATCATCACTTAAAGTCTTGAGTGAAAGCTTTGAAGTCCATGCAATCATCTCACCTTTTGTTATTCTCCTCCACCAGCTCATTCCTCTTCACATAATCTGTGATGATTGTTCTCACTTCTGCTGGTTGGAGTACTGTTCCTTTCCTTTGAGAGAGAGCACTGACATGTCAGTACAACAAAAAAACAAAAAATAATTAACACATAAAAAAGACTACATACACACAGGCATGTACCCAGACTCACCTCTTCTTGGCATCTTCAAACAGAAGCTCCAGACAAGAGGACACCCTGTAGAGGGTAGTGATCTCAGGCGGATGGTAGAGCTTCTCCCCCTTCCCTCCTCCCACCTCCACTGGGGCCTCCTCTGTCCCAGGATCCTCTGGGGTGCGGAAGGAGCGCAGTCTAGAGGCAGCAGAGGAGTAGTAAAACACTCTTCACTGCTTCTAGCCTCAAGTTCCCTTGATAAATGTCATGAGTGGAGGAGGCTATACTCACTCTGGGTTCTTCCAGTCCACCTCTATGATGCCCTCCACCCCTTTACCCAGCTCCTTCACTCTCACCAGGCTGTGCTGCTGCTGCATGCTCTGAAGGAACTTGGATAACTGGGGACAAAACATTAGACTTAGGATTTAAGGGATAATTCAGTGATCATTGATGAAGAGTCAAGCTGAATTGTGTGGGTTTTGCCATCAACTTTCCAAGATTCAAGTTTATTAGAAACATAATTGCATACGTTCTTTACAAGTCAAGTCAAGGACCACTCTTATTCTAAGAGTTACCTTTGTATAGCTTGATTTCTTGATGTCAAGTTGCTTTCCACTTGGACTGTAAAACAACAATTCCTATGAGTGTTCAGTTCAAGGCTACCTCTCTTTAGCAGAATCCTAACTTGAGGTAGGCTACAACTTTTGCAGGTATGCACTGATGTCAGGGGAAAATGTGTGCAAAAAACATGTAATGCAACTCTCAATGTCCCCGGGTAGTGTTTACCAGCAGGAGAACATGTGGATGCACAGAAAGGTAGTGGTCAGCAGGGGGAGCTCGGACTTTGCTCTTGAGCGCGTGGAGGAAACACTACCTCAGCAGGGCATCCATCTGCTCTGTAAGGACAGACAGACAGCCAGACAGACAGACATTGAGTACTGTGCTGTATGAAGAAGATGTCTAACAAGAAGGTGTTTTGTTCGTCAATTCATGGCTATTTATGCAATAAGATACTTTGTCAAAGAAAGACACACATCAAACATGTTTGCCATCAAGGACAACGTCATTTCTTTGGGAAAAGTAGCTAACATAACACTAGAGCAAAGAATACTCTTCTCAATTAGACCCAAACACACGGACACATACCACTGCCAAAATAAAGAAAAGACTTGAGAAAATGAGGGATACAAAGTATATTAAAAGCAGGTGCTTCCACACAAGTGTGGTTCCTGAGTTAATTAAGCAATTAACATCCCATCATGCTTAGGGTAATGTATAAAAATGCCCAGTTGCCCAATATTTTGGCTACCATGGCTAGAAGAAGATATATCAGTGACTTTCAAAGAGGGGTCTCAAAATAATCAGAACTGAACACTTATGGGAGATACTGTACTAGAGAGGTGCCTGAGACAGCATTTTCCACCACCATCAATAAAACACCAAATGAACGAATTTCTCGTGGAAGAATGTTGTCGCATCCCTCCAATAGAGTTCCAGACACTTGTAGAATCTATGCCAAGGCGCATTGAAGCTGTTCTGGTGGCTCGTGGTGGCCCAACACCGTATTAAGACACTTTATGTTGGTGTTTCCTTTAATTTGGCAGTTACAGCGCATTCAGAAAGTATTCAGACCCCTTGACTTTTTCCACATTTTGTTACGTTACAGACTTATTCTAAAATGGATCAAATTGTTTTTTCCCCCTCATCAATCTACACACAATACCCGATAATGACCAAGCAAAAACAGGTTTTTAGAAATGTTTGCAAATGTTTAAAAAATTAAAAACCAAAATATCATATTTACATAAGTGTTCAGACCCTTTACTCAGTACTTTGTTGAAGCACCTTTCGCAGCGATTACAGCCTCAAGTCTTCTTGGGTATGACACTACATGCTTGGCACGCCTGTCTTTGGGAAGTTTCTCCCATTCTTCTCTGCAGATCGTCTCAAACTGTCAGGTTGAATGGAGAGTGTTTCCGCACAGCTATTTTCAGGACTCTCCAGAGATCGGGTTCAAGTCCGGGCTCTGGCTGGGCCACTCAAGGACATTCAGAGACTTGTAGAAACATCTCAAGGATGATCAATGGAAACAGGATGGACCTGAGCTCAATTTCGAGCCTCATAGCAAAGGGTCTGAATACTTATGTAAATAAGGTTTTTCTTTTTTTCTTTTTTTTTTCTTTGCAAAATAATCTACAAACCTGTTTTCACATTGTCATTATGGCGTATTGTGTGAAAATTGATGAGGAAAATGTTTTATTTAATCGATTTTAGATTAAGGTTGTAACGTAACAAAATGTGGAAAAACTCATAACCTGCAGTCCCCATGGTTATATCCGCAGGGTCATTAAATATTGTGTAGATGAAGGGCGGGTGGGTGGCGGGCAGGTTGAATAAAGAGCAAACAATACCTTCTTGTGCAATTTATATATATAGGCTACATTTAGGTTTTTCTTTCATTTTTTTAGGTTATCTGGTATTAGTGCGTAAGCCTAAACTTTTAGGGCTTAACTGTACATGCGGCAAATAGCTTACATGCCAAATGCTTTTGGGAACGGGCAGAAAAAGTTAACGTCAATCCACGGAAGCAAAAAGGATAATGTCAGAGTTTAATTCATTAAGAGAAACACTGCGAATTGGAGAGTTGAAAATAAAGAGAAGGGGGGGCCAGAAAAGTCATGTTTGGGAAAGATTTGGTGAAGTGGTAAAAGAGGATGATAGCAGTGCCGGCTATGTTATGTGTGAGGATTGTGAGGCGCTATAGCCTACAAATTCGACAGTCACAAGACGGGGACTTCAAATAGGCCTATGGCACGTCAAGGGAACTGTAGCCTACTGTTCAGATGGGTTAAATGGAAACTGAAATCTGCACACTGACTGTACAGTGAGGGAAAAAAGTATTTGATCCCCTGCTGATTTTGTACGTTTGCCCACTGACAAAGAAATGATCAGTCTATAATTTTAATGGGAGGTTTATTTGCTTCTGTGGACAGGTGTCTTTTATACAGGTAACACGCTGAGATTAGGAGCACTCCCTTTAAGAGTGTGCTCCTAATCTCAGCTCTTTACCTGTATAAAAGACACCTGAGAGACAGAAATCTTTCTGATTGAGAGGGGGTCAAATACTTATTTCCCTCATTAAAATGCAAATCAATTGATAACATTTTTGACATGCGTTTTTCTGGATTTTTTTGTTGTTATTCTGTCTCTCACTGTTCAAATAAACCTACCATTTCCAAGATTCAAGTTTATTAGAAACATAATCGCCTACAAATTCAGGGGACTTCAAATAGGCCTATGGCACGTCAAGGGAACTGTAGCATACTGTTCAGATGGGTTAAATGGAAACTGAGATCTGCACACTGACTGTGAGGGGAAAAAGTATTTGATCCCCTGCTGATTTGTACGTTTGCCCACTGACAAAGAAATTATCAGTCTATAATTTTAATGGTAGGATTATTTGAACAGTGAGAGACAGAATAACAACAACAAAATCCAGAAAAACGCATGTCAAAAATGTTATCAATTGATTTGCATTTTAATTACATTTACGTCATTTAGCAGACGCTCTTATCCAGAGTGACTTTCAAATTGGGAAATAAGTATTTGACCCCTCTGCAAAACATGACTTAGTATTTGGTGACAAAACCCTTGTTGGCAATCACAGAAGTCAGACGTGTCTTGTAGTTGGCCACCAGGTTTGCACACCTCATCTAGTATAGAAGTAATCCTTCTACACCCCCCCACCCCACCCCCCCAAAAAAAAAAAAAAAAAAAAAGATTTTATATATATATAGAAACAAACAACAAAAAAGTAGAAAATATAAATAGAATAAAAAAATACAATAAAAAAATGTTTTTGTAAAGTGGTTGTCCCACTGGCTATCATAAGGTGAATGCACCAATTTGTAAGTCGCTCTGGATAAGAGCGTCTGCTAAATGACGTAAATGTAAATGTAATGTAAAATCACAGGAGGGATTTTGTCCCACTCCTCTTTGCAGATCTTCTCCAAGTCATTAAGGTTTCGAGGCTGACGTTTGGCAACCAGAACCTTCAGCTCCCTCCACAGATTTTCTATGGGATTAAGGTCTGGAGACTGGCTAGGCCACTCCAGGACCTTAATGTGCTTCTTCTTGAGCCACTCCTTTGTTGCCTTGGCCGTGTGTTTTGGGTCATTGTCATGCTGGAATAACCATCCAAAACACATTTTCAATGCCCTGGCTGAGGGAAGGAGGTTCTCACCCAAGATTTGACGGTACATGGCCCCGTCCATCGTCCCTTTGATGCGGTGAAGTTGTCCTGTCCCCTTAGCAGAGAAACACCCCCAAAGCATAATGTTTCGACCTCCATGTTTGACGGTGTGGATGGTGTTCTTGGGGTCATAGCCAGCATTCCTCCTCCTCCAAACACGGCGAGTTGAGTTGATGCCAAAGAGCTCCATTTTGGTCTCATCTGACCACAACACTTTCACCCAGTTCTCCTCTGAATCATTGAGATGTTCATTGGCAAACTTCAGACGAGCATGTATATGTGCTTTCTTGAGCAGGGGGACCTTGCGGGCGCTGCAGGATTTCAGTCCTTCACGGCGTAGTGCAGGGTTCTTCAATTCCGGTCCTGGAGGGCCGAAACACTTCTGTTTTTTATTTCTACCTGGTAGTTAATTGCACTCACCTGGTGTCCCAGGTCTGAATTAGCCCCTGATTAGAAGGAGAGGATGAAAAACAGAGGTGTTTCGGCCCTCCAGGACCGGAATTGAAGAACCCTGGCGTAGTGTGTTACCAATTGTTTTCTTGGTGACTATGGTCCCAGCTGCCTTGAGATCATTGACAAGATCCTCCCGTGTAGTTCTGGGCTGATTCTTCACCGTTCTCATGATCATTGCAACTCCACGAGGTGAGACTTGCATGGAGCCCCAGGCCGAGGGAGATTGACAGTTTTTTTTGTGTTTCTTCCATTTCCGAATAATCGCACCAACTGTTGTCACCTTCTCACCAAGCTGCTTGGCGATGGTCTTGTAGCCCATTCCAGCCTTGTGTAGGTCTACAATCTTGTCCCTGACATCCTTGGAGAGCTCTTTGGTCTGGGCCATGGTGGAGAGTTTGGAATCTGATTGATTGCTTCTGTGGACAGGTGTCTTTTATACAGGTAACAAGCTGAGATTAGGAGCACTCCCTTTAAGAATGTGCTCCTAATCTCAGCTCGTTACCTGTATAAAAGACACCTGGGAGCCAGAAATCTTTCTGATTGAGAGGGGGTCAAATACTTATTTCCCTCATTAAAATGCAAATCAATTTATAACATTTTTGACATGCGTTTTTCAGGATTTTTTTGTTGTTATTCTGTCTCTCACTGTTCAAATAAACCTACCATTAAAATTATACTGATCTTTCTTTGTCAGTGGGCAAACATACAAAATGTTTCAGCAGGGTATCAAATACTTTTTTCCCTCACTGTAGGTCTATAACCTCTCACATAGCCTTAATATTAACTCTTTCAAATGTAGGCTTCATTTTGACTCGGGAACAGGAGTGGAGAAATATGATTTATTTCTTTCAGCGTCTTGAGAGAATGTGAATGTGCAGTTAGATACCGTCTGTAGGGATGCTATCTTTATCAGCATCATAAAAGCTGATAGTATTTGAACCACATCAAATATGCATCAAAGCCGAACTGGGTTTATTTAGTCTTCTAGATCAACATTTAATGACAGAAGAGAAGCTGCATGTATCTAATTATAGACAAGTTGACTAACAAATAGCCTACCAAAATGTTGGAAATTATAAGCAGAAACATATCTAAATCGGGCAAAACTGTCTCTGACTGTAGCCTAAAGCTCATTTTCTATATTAGCAGGTTAGGGTCGGGTACAGATTTTCACATTCAGTGGGGGAAAAAGTATTTAGTCAGCCACCAATGGTGCAAGTTCTCCCACTTAAAAAGATGAGAGAGGCCTGTAATTTTCATCATAGGTACACGTCAACTATGACAGACAAAATGAGGAAAAAAATGCCAGAAAATCACATTGTAGGATTTTTAATGAATTTATTTGCAAATTATGGTGGAAAATAAGTATTTGGTCAATAACAAAAGTTTCTCAATACTTTGTTATATACCCTTTGTTGGCAATGACACAGGTCAAACGTTTTCTGTAAGTCTTCACAAGGTTTTCACACACTGTTGCTGGTATTTTGGCCCATTCCTCCATGCAGATCTCCTCTAGAGCAGTGATGTTTTGGGGCTGTCGCTGGGCAACACAGACTTTCAACTCCCTCCAAAGATTTTCTATGGGGTTGACATCTGGAGACTGGCTAGGCCACTCCAGGACCTTGAAATGCTTCTTACGAAGCCACTCCTTCGTTGCCCGGGCGGTGTGTTTGGGATCATTGTCATGCTGAAAGACCCAGCCAAGCTGCTTACCTATTGCAGATTCAGTCTTCCCAGCCTAGTGCAGGTCTACAATTTTGTTTCTGGTGTCCTTTGACAGCTCTTTGGTTTTGGCCATAGTGGAGTTTGGAGTGTGACTGTTTGAGGTTGTGGACAGGTGTCTTTTATACTGATAACAAGTTCAAACAGGTGCCATTAATACAGGTAACGAGTGGAGGACAGAGGAGCCTCTTAAAGAAGAAGTTACAGGTCTGTGAGAGCCAGAAATCTTGCTTGTTTGTAGGTGACCAAATACTTATTTTCCACCATAATTTGCAAATAAATTCATAAAAAATCCTAGGGATGGGTTATTAGCAATTGCGGGCAGGTGCGGGTGAACAAACATCTGACACCATTACCTTGTGGGCTTCTCGGGTCCTCTGGGTCTTCCTTTCCTTCCTCTTTTTCTCCTGCTCCCCCTCCTCTTCCTCCCCGTCAGACAGGCTGAGCTTCTGGACACCAGCATCAGAGTTGGGACACGGTTCTTCACCCTCCTCAGTGGTCTGTTCATCACCCTCCTCTTCCTCTCCATACACTGCCTCGACTCCCTCAGTGTCCACATCAGGAATGGAGGGAGAACCAGCCTTGTCTCCAAATGCCCTAATGATAGTAGATTGACATGGGAATGTTGTGTCAGGGTTATACGTATTGACACTAACCATGCTGCAGTGTGTGTGTGTGGAGTTTGACTGGCTAATCTGCGCTCACCACAGGCTGTCCATGTAGGTATGGAGGACTGACACCCCTCTGCCCTTCATGCCCAGGCCCCGCATCTCTGCACTGGACATGGTGGCGGTGCCCACTGCCACGGGAGCCCTGGGAACAAACAACCACAACGTTGTGAGCAAGAATATGAAGCCTGCCATTGTCAAGGTATTTACAGTAAGTCACTGTGTTCATTATAGACAGCGGTAATAGCCAATCATGACTTGAGACATGTTGACTGTAACACTACCTGTGGGATAGACACATTTCTCCAGCTCAAAGAACACTGGGTTCTTATGAAGCAGGTAGAGGGTGACTGCATCTCCCTTGTTGGCATTGATCTTCACTACATTGAACTCCTCTTTGTTTGGGACCAACTCGGACAGTTCCTCCACAGACAGAGAGGGAAAGGCTGTGGATATGTCAGCTTTCAGCTTCATCCTAAGGTGGGTAGAGGCGATATGAAATATTGTTGTAATCTATGTGAAAAAGTTTTCCGGAAATGTAGTGATGCTGTCATTCCACAAAAAGCCTAAGTTAATTATAAGCATCATGTACATATTTAGTTGTTTGTGAGTGTGACTCTAGAAAATGGAACAGGGGTCATTCCATTTGATTTCAATCACTTTTTGACCTCACCCTTTAGATTTGAATGAAACTTTCCATACATATTTGCCCATGTTAGAAGTGGTCAGAAAGTGCCTTTTTGGACCTGAATGCAAAAACATTCAGGAGATATAGGTGCTGAAAGTTGACCCATTTTGCACACCCCACCCTACCATGAGACATCCATGTCTTCATCACTGGACGTCCAACCATCTTTGTTGTACCATTTGATTCCCATTTTAATACATTTATCAGCCAAAACATGACATCCACCCTGTGTTCAAAAGCACGCTGTCTCAATCATAAAGACAGATAGAGGCCACTAGTGGCAAAAAGGCTTGCTTTAGCATGGGCAGCGCCATTGAGGGCTTCCACCATTTTAATGTAGTCAACTGGGTGTGACTTCCAACTTCATTGGCTGATCTCTCCTGGTGACCCTGTTGGAGTCATGTCCAACCGGGTCATCAGGAGTGATCATCCAATCATGAAGAAGAAAATTGACTACTTCAAAATGGAGATAGCCTCAATGGCACTGCTCATGCTGTCACAGATGCTATAATGGCAAAGATGAGTCCTCTATCTATCTCTATGGTCTCAACCGAATGCAGCCACAACTCAAAAACCTTGGATGATGTAAAATAGGGTCTAATGCCATGTTCAAAACAAATGGGAGCTCGGAACTTGGAAATCTCGGACTTCCGAGCGTTAAAAACTGGGAGAAAAAAAAGAAATCAGACTGGGAAAAATCGATTTAAACAGTCATCCAACTCGGGAACTCCGGCCTCTTTCTAGAGCTCCTACTTTCTGACCTGAAGATCACTGACGTCATGATTTTACCTTGTATTTCCCAGTTGTTTTGAACTCGGCATAAACTACAACATATGCGAAAAATGAAAATAATCTGAGTTTATGCAGTTTAATTTATAAATGAAGTTAAAGATTTTTATTTTTATTTTAAAGAAATGATCAAATTGTGACAACCCTCTTGTAAGCTTTTAAATTATATCAAACTCAACCGTTAATCTTTTCCAGTGATGAAGACATGGATGTCTCATGGTATGGTGGGGTATGCAAAATGGGTCAACTTTGGGCACCTCCATCTCCTGAATGTTTTGGGATTCAGGTCCAAAGAGTCACTTTCTGACCACTTCTACCAAGGACAAATATGGGAGGTTTTGTTCAAATTAAAAAGGGGTACGGTCAAAAACTGATTGAAATCAAATGCAACGACCCACAGTTCTCATAGTCAGAATCTAGCATAGACGACATGCCATAACTTTCCCAGACTCCTGAATCCTCTCCCTATGGCTGTGTCTGGGTACCTTTCTAGCTAGCAAAGAGGCTGGATGCCTGTAGCTGGCATATGGAGCGATAGCCGACTAAACTCAACGATGGAGTTGAGCGGCGACTAGAAATATGTCGTGTGTGTAATTGCTGCCTATCCTTTGGATGCTGAAATCAGTCGTTAAAAAATAAGAAAAACGTCGGAGCTCCAGTCGGCCACCACGCTAGTCGTCGTCGCTCAACTCCATCGTAAATCGTTGAGTTTAGTTGTCTAATGTGGAGCAAGTAACTCCTCAACTGTCGGAGCATTTAATCACTCTGTTGGACTTGATACGGAACCCTTTCGCAAAAATATTGAAAACGACACCGTCGTTAATTCAAGCTCTTACTCCTAAGATTTATTCAATTATATTTAGTAGTTAAGTTTAAACTCACATTTCGCAAATTATAAAAAAAAAAAAAAAAAAACATTCAGAAATGGACAGCAGCACGGACATTTTGGTGCGTCACAAAATACGTCCGGAAGGATTCTGCCAATAGCCGCAGATTTGTTCCTATGAGATACTTTAAAGGCCCAGTGCAGTCCAAAGCGTGATTTTACTTTGTTTTATATATATCCACACTATGAGGTTGAAATAACATGGTGAAAATTATGAAAATGCACTTTTAGAGTAAGAGCTGTTTGAAAAGACCACCTGATATTTCAGCTTGTTTGCCCTCTCACACCACTCCCAGACAGTTCTAGCAAAATCTTGCTTGAGAAATTGCATTTAGCTAAGAAGCTATTTTTGTATATTTTTTAATTAATTTATTGTTACCCATAAGAAATTATTTGATATTGAGATAAAAACGGCTGCATTGGACCTTTTTGCCCAATGTCCACCAGAAGCAGATGTGTTTTGTTTTGCCAGCTGTTTAGTCCGCATTTTCTGTACTTGAGGCACGTGCTTTGCTTTTCAACTTGCTAAAAGATAGCTAGCTACCACCGCAAGGTAAAGCAATGCAGGAGTTGTAAATATTGAACGCATGTGGTACAGAGAATGCACCGCAGACTAGTGCGGCACCCCCGCCTGAACAGAAAGAGCTTGATGCATCTGGTGGATATGTGGCGTTAAAGGCCCTTTAAACTGAATTTTGACTGCACTGGGCCTTTAAATGATCAAATCTGTGGGAAAATCTCAATTGTAAACACCTCACATCCTCTCTTCTTGTCTCCTTCTCAAAACCCATTCGAGGAGACGATCAGAGGGGCGGGACCTCTGGCTTTCTTATCCAATGAGTTTTGAGAAGGATACGAGGAGAGAGGACCCAAGGAGAATACAATTGAGATTTTTCCCGGTGATTCGAGCCTCGAGCTAGCTAAACGTGTGAGGTCATCATGACATGTTGGTAGGTTTGTGATGCTCGTCGTTTGGTGCGACGCAAACAGGGTGGCGAGAGTGGGGAAACAGAAGAGTCATTGTCTGTTCTTTTGAGTTTTGAAGTTGAGTCTTTGCCCGACAAAGTGAAGTTAGGATATATATAGTTGAAGTCGGAAGTTTACATTCACTTAGGTTGGAGTCATTTAAACTCGTTTTTCAACCACTCCACAAATTTCTTGTTAACAAACTATAGTTTTGGCAAGTCGGTTAGGACATCTACTTTGTGCATGACACAAGTAATTTTTCCAACAATTGTTTACAGACAGATTATTTCACTTATAATTCACTGTATCACAATTCCAGTGGGTCAGAAGTTTAAATACACTAAGTTGACTGTGCCTTTAAACAGCTTGGAAAATTCCAGAAAATGATGTCATGGCTTTAGAAGCTTCTGATAGGCTAATTGACATCATTTGAGTCAATTGGAGGTGTACTTGTGGATGTATTTCAAGGCCTACCTTCAAACGCAGTGCCTCTTTGCTTGACATCATGGGAAAATCAAAAGAAATCAGCCAAGACAGTCTGGTTCATCCTTGGGAGCAATTTCCAAACGCCTGAAGGTACCACGTTCATCTGTACAAACAATAGTATGCAAGTATAAACACCATGGGACCACGCAGCCGTCATACCGCTCAGGAAGGAGACACGTTCTGTCTCCTAGAGATGAACGTACTTTGGTGCGAAAAGTGCAAATCAATCCCAGAACAACAGCAAAGGACCTTATGAAGATGCTGAAGGAAACAGGTAAAAAAGTGTCTATATCCACAGTTAAACGAGTCCTATATCGACATAACCTGAAAGGCCGCTCAGCAAGGAAGAAGCCACTGCTCCAAAACCACCATAAAAAAGCCAGACTACGGTTTGCAACTGCACATGGGGACAAAGATCGTACTTTTTGGAGAAATGTCCTATGGTCTGATGAAACAAAAATAGAACTGTTTGGCCATAATGACCATCGTTATGTTTGGAGGAAAAAGGGGGTTGCTTGCAAGCCAAAGAACACCATCCCAACCGTGAAGCACGGGGGTGGCAGCATCATGCTGTGGGGGTGCTTTGCTGCAGGAGGGACTGGTGCACTTCACAAAATAGATGGCATCATGAGGAAGGAAAATTATGTGGATATATTGAAGCAACATCTCAAGACATCAGTCAGGAAGTTACATCTTGGTCGCAAATGGGTCTTCCAAATGAACAATGACCCCAAGCATACTTCCAAAGTTGTGGCAAAATGGCTTAAGGACAACAAAGTCGAGGTATAGGAGTGGCCATCACAAAGCCCTGACCTCAATCCTATAGAAAATGTGTGGGCAGAATTGAAAAAGCGTGTGCGGGCAAGGAGGCTTACAAACCTGACTCAGTTACCTCAGTTCTGTCAGGAGGAATGGGCCTAAATTCACCCAACTTATTGTGGGAAGCTTGTGGAAGGCTACCCGAAACGTTTGACCCAAGTTAAACAATTTAAAGGCAATGCTACCAAATACTAATTGAGTGTATGTAAACTTCTGACCCGCTGGGAATGTGATGAAAGAAATAAAAGCTGAAATAAATAATTATCTTTACTATTATTCTGACATTTCACATTCTTAAAATAAAGTGGTGATCCTAACTGACCTAAGATAGGGAATTTTTACTAGGATTAAATGTCAGGTATTGTGAAAAACTGAGTTTAAATGTATTTGGCTAAGGTGTATGTAAACTTCCGACTTCAACTGTAAGTTATCCTGTACGAGTTTATGTGCCGAATACATTACAGTGTTACAGGTGTCAAACTTATGGGCATGTGGCAGCATTGCGTAGGAGGGAGGTTCCAAGGTGTGAGAAGTGTGCAGAAGGGCATGAGACAAAGGAATGTGTAGCATTGGGGAAAGTAATGGTATGTACTAATTGTAGGGGTGCCCATGGGGCTGGGGATCAGATTTGTCCTGTGCGAGAGAGGCAGGTTGAGGTTTCCAGGGTAAGAGTAGTGCAGAAGTTGTCATGCTGAGGCAGTGAAGAAAGTAGAGGAAGATGGGTCAAGGGGGAGGAGTGGTGAGAGTAGTAGATCTGTACCAGTACTGAGGGATAGGCCAACAAGTGATATATGTTTCAGTAAGATTGGATTTTTAGCATTTATAGCAATGGTTATTAAT